ACTGGGGCCCCTGCCTGTATCTCTCCGCCCGCCCGACCCTGGCTGCTCCCCGCTGGGCCCCCGCCGCCTCAGGCCGGGGCTGCCCTCCCTCAGCTCGGCCTGCTCCCTCATCCGTCCCGCTGTCCCTTCTGCCCTTCCTGTTGGTGCTGTCCACTGAGCCCTGTCCTCCTCGCCGCCGTCTGGCACTGGCAGTGGCCCCGCTGTGTGCTGTCGTGCCCGGGTGTGTCCTGTGCCCACGGCCCCCAGGACGCTACCGTTTCCCTCTTTTCCTGTACACGCTTCGGCTGCTCTCAGGCTCTGGCAACCACCTCTGAGCCCTGTGTGCCACTTCCCCTGAGCAGCTCAGGTGCCAGCCCGGTGTGGGATGGGGGCAGGACTGGCCTGGCCCTGGGACCCTGCTCCTACCCAGCGTCTGAGGGTCTTTGCTATCCGTCTTCCTGACTCTGCCCTTCTCTCCAGTGTCCCGCCTGCACTGTGAGAGTGAGTCCTTCAAGATGGACCTTATCCTGGATGTGAACATCCAGATTTACCCTGTGGACCTCGGTAAGCTATCAGGCTGCTTGTCCAGAACGGGCTGGGGTGAGGTGGGGTTAGAGAGTCACAGGCTGGCACTTGGAGGAGGAAGGCTGGGTTTTCTATGAACACGAAGCGAGCTGTATCAGACTTTCTTGGCCCTCTGCAATCACCGGGTCACAGGATGTGCTGGGTGTTCTCACTGTGCTGGGGCTGAGCTGGATTCTGGTTCATCTCACTGTGGAATTTGTTTGTGCTCATGTGTGGCCTGTTCCCCAAAAGTGCTCTCTGGTAAAACTGCCTTAGCTGGTGACAGCCAAGCTTTAAGGGGGATGTTCTGAAATGAGTTTCTGTGCCTAAATGTACTAAATGTGTGGAAAATAAAATCTTATCCTAAATGAAGTGTAGAAGGGCTGGAGCTGGTGCTGCAGGGTCTCGGCTACTGGCCTAAGGCACAGCCAGGCTCTCTGGGACTCTCTCCACAGTGTCTTGCTGTGTCCCTTGAAAACACCAGCAGTGATGTCCTTGTGGTTCTGGTCTCCTCCGTGGTGGTGACCAATGTCTCTCAGGAATGGGGAGACAGAGGATCTTTTCCTTGTTCCCTGTAATCCTGAAGGACTGAATGCGAGAATGGAGCTTTATGCTAAACCTGCCAGGGCAGCTCCTTGCCACCACCCTGAGGTTTGCTGTGGCTGCTGCTGCTCTGGCTGTGTCCCCTGCCTTTTCACTGCTGCTCTGCCCTCTTCTCCCAGGGGACAAATTCCGCCTGGTCATTGCCAGCACCTTGTATGAAGATGGCACCCTGGATGACGGCGAGTACAACCCCACGGATGACAGGCCATCCAGGTATGGGTGTCCAGCCAGGACCCGCCTAGGGGTGGATGAGGGAAAAGATGAAGTGCTGAGGGCCACACCTGGGTTTGACCCTCCCCTGAGCTCCCACCATCCCGTTGCAGGGCAGACCAGTTTGAGTATGTGATGTATGGCAAGGTGTACAGGATTGAAGGGGACGAGACCTCCACGGAGGCAGCCACGCGCCTGTGAGTGCCTGTCGGCGGGAGTGGGGAGACGTGGTGCCCTGGGGTGGTGTGGGGAAGGCAGCGGGGTCTCAGTCCGGGTCTGCTGTGGGATTCCCCGCTCTCATTGCTCCTCTTCTCCTGCCCCAGCTCTGCCTACGTATCCTACGGGGGACTGCTGATGCGGCTGCAGGGAGACGCAAACAACCTGCACGGGTTTGAAGTGGACTCTCGCGTTTACCTGCTGATGAAAAAGCTGGCCTTCTAGCACACCCTGCCTCCATGGGCTGCTCCAGAGACATTCTGCTGGCGAGCAAATGGGAGCCCCATGACCCCAAATCCTGCCACAGCACTCATGCTGCCTGGCTTCTCCGGAGCTGGGGGAGGAAGGGGCAGTCCCCTTCCTCATCTTGGCCTCTTCTGACTCCTGCTGGGATCTGCAGCCTGCTCCTACACAGAGAGAGGTGCCTGGCAGGCGAGTGGAGACTGTGCCAAGTGCTCCATGGTCCTGCCTGCTGGATGTCACTTCCCACCTCTGCCTTCCTATGTTTCCAAAGCAGGCTTAGCCCTGGACAGGGACATCTAGAATGGGACAGCCACTTGTCTGCCTTGGGGCTGGGGACCAAGTCCTGAGGAGCTGTCCTGAGGCAGGTCGGGCTTGTTCTTGATTAAACTCAAATGTGTTTTCTGTCTCTGGCTCTGCTGGCTGAGAGATGAGGCTGGCAGGGAGCGGGTACACCAGTGCAGGAGGCAGAAGGGATCTGCGCCACAGTCCCAAAGGATGGGCAAGCCAGACTAGGCTGTTTTCTGCCACACCTCTGGGCACGGTGCACTCTGGGGCTATGGGGAGGAGGTGGGTGCTGGAGGCGAGTGCACTGTCTAACGGAGCCCTTGTGCCCTGCAGAGCTGGCAGCTGCCGCAGGAGGGAGCTGAGCACGGGAGAGACCCAGAGCATGTCCTGGAGGTGCTGCCACTTACTGAGGCCCCTGGGAGTGTGCAGTCCCCCTGCCAGGGCAGCAGGGGAGAAGGAGGACACAAACAGCCCTTTAGAAAAATAGCTCTTTATTTATGAAGCGTTCACAGTAGAGGTGCCTGCCTGAGTGGGAGCAGGGCCTGTACCCTCTGGTCTCACTGCTGTCAGTCACCATGGGCTGTGTGGTTGCCAAAGGAGGAGCAGGAGCCAACCTTTTCCCTCTTGGCACCCAGAGCACAGCGCAGTGTCTGACAGCACTGCTCTGAACTGGGATTGGGGGTGAGCCCTGTGTGCAGCCTCATCGGACCCCGTCTCTGCCGCTCCCCTGGCCTTGCTTGCACAAGTCTTTGGCCAGGTCGTAGAAGAAGAAGCGCAGCTTTCCCTGCACCAGCTGCCGGTAGGTGAGGAAGATGCTGGTGATACGGGACTGCTCCGTGGAGCGCGGGGAGCAGCCTGGCTCCCAGGGTCCTGCCTGAGGGGCAAGAGTGGGACAGAGGGGTGATAAATGCTGTCATACCCAGCCTGGTGTAGCCAGTACCAGCACCAGTGTGGTCTGGCTCATGTGGAGAGGTCTCACCTCCCAGCTGAAGGCCTGCAGGAGTAGGAGGAAGAAGTGGGTGCGTTGATAAAGCTGGCTCAGCTGCTTGGACTCGCACTCCTCGGTCACCTGTTGCTGGGCCATGTCCACAGCACGCACCAGCAGTGCCAGGTCACACAGGATCTCCTGATGCTTGGTCTCGTTCTAGGGGGAGCAAGCAGTGACTGACCCGCCCATCCAACACAGAGCATGTGGGGCCAATCCATTCCTGTGCCCACCCTAGGTCTGGATGGGATCCTCCATCTCCCTGTGCTGCCAGGTATGACTACAGGCATCTTGTTTGGCATTTTTGGTGCCTGTGCCAACCTGGGGGCTCCTTCTCCAGCCCCATGGGCACCCTGGTGCCAGTACCATCTTCCCAGCCCCTCTTACCGATTTGGATTTCCACTGCTGGAGGCTGAAGTCCACCAAGGGCAGCACCGCAGGGCAGCTGAGTGTGGGCAGTGCCTGGCACTGGCCCTGGGGGGCAGAGGAGATGCTGAGGTGAGATACCAGGAGCTGTGCCCATCCCCGTTATGGGTTTTTTGGGGGGGAGTGTATCCTCACCACTCTCTTCTCCATGTCCTTGGCCTCCCCAATGTACATCTGGATGAGCCTGTTGTCGCAGACCAGCCGCGTTGGGCTGGCACGGCTCTCTTCCACGTGCAGGAGAAAGGATGTGAGGAGGAGCAGTCCTGGGGGGGACAGGGTTACCTTGGCCACCATGCCGCCTTCCTTGGGTGGCCCAGGGCCATGTCTGCAGGGGCAGCCACTCCCCCAACCCATGGTGGCCTTGATGGCCCCATGGTGGGGGCACAAGGGGTGCTGAGGAGGGCCTGGTGCTGCCCTTGGATCAGTTGGTGCAGGTGCTCAGTGCTCGCTGGGGAGAGCTGGGGTTTCCGTGCCGGTGGCGTGTGCCAAGAGGCCACACAGCTGTGTCCGTGCCAGGTTATTTTGGCCCTGCACCAGGCTGGGCTGCAGGCAGGGAGCAGAGCGGGGCCAGCCTTCCCTATCAGTGCCAGGAACAGCTCTGGCCATCACGTGTGTTTCAGGGAATCCCTGCCTGCAGCATCCTGCAGTGTCCGTCCACTCCTTGCTGCTGTCCTGGCCGAGGGCTTGCCAGCCAGCACTGCCTTCCCCAGCATCACTAGCATGCTGCTGCACCGGGCACCTCTTGGTTAGGCAACTACTGTGCCCAGCCACTGCCCATCCTGGCATCAGCCATCTCTCCACAGGCCCTCTGTGCATCCACATCCTCGCTGCCTGCCCTGGTGCTACACCTGTCCCCAGAAGCCCTTGGCATGGCCCATTTCTCTGGGATATGCATGGAGAGGTGCTGGGCTGCTCTGGTGAGCAGGAGCAGCCCGGTCTGACCAAACCAGAGCCATCCTTGGGGTTTGCTGCCCACCTGTGGGGTTCATTTCAGGGGTGTCCATGCAGGGGATGCTCAGGCAGCATGGGCATGGTGCTTGTTGCTAACATGATGCCCCTTCCTGCTCACCCCCGTCCCCTCCTTTTAGCCACGTACTCACTGTTCAGCTCCATGCTCAGCTGGGGGCTTCGGCCCTGCATCTTCCACCCAGGGGCCAGCGGCTGCTCCCTGCTTCCCGTCCCCCTTCCATGGAGGGCAGTGGTGGTGCGGGCTCCCTGTGAGCCCCTCAGCCGGGATGGGGGGCCGGGTGCGCCCCCAGCACAGCGTGGCTCTGGCCGGGCCGCCCAGCCAAGGCCACGCGATTTCCTGTTGTGTCGCCACTGACCTTCGAGCAAAATCGCAGCAGGGGCCCCGGCCCTCCGGGACGGCTTCCTGCCTCTGGCCGCTTCCTCCCTTGGCTCAGAGCTCGGGAAAGACGTCCCCGGGCACCCTCTGGAGCTGCTCACCTGCTCCTGGGCCTGAGTGCTCAGCTGCTGGGGCCTCAGTGGTCAGCGCCTCAGCTGTGCCCATTCAGGGGGTGAAGGTGGCCCTGGTTCCTGCAGAAGAGATGGCATCAGTGAGCCTGGGGCCATCAGCCCTGATGGGATCCTGCTCCCTGCTGTGACAGCCAAGCATGAAGGCCACCAAAAACTCTCACTCAGAGGTGTGCTCCAACTCTGGTGATCCTCATCCAGAGGTGGACCTTCAACCCTGGTGACTCTTGCCCAGAGGTGGACCCCATCCCCTTGTCCTTCGTCCAGAGATGATCTGGGGAGGTGAGGTTCACTGATGGGGCTGCAGTGCACAGGGACCCCTTGGAGCTGGAGAGGGTGATAGAGCATGGAGCCTGGCCTCATGGCATGCGAGTCCCAGAGCTGTTTCACCAGGGGTGTGGTTGGGGGGGGCAGGTGAGGCACCCCCTCCCCAGGTGGATCTGTCCAGCGCAGGGCTCTGTCCCGGGGTTGCTCTGGCCTGGTGGTGGGGGCAGGTGTATGCATACCCCTACCCGTGTATATGTGCACGTGTGTGTCAGTACAGCACACGTGTACACGCACCCTATGTGCGCCCTCAGACCTACCTGCACATGCGCACCTCCCCCAGCACGTATCGGGGTGCACACTTGGATAACACCCAGGGCTGGGAAGGTGCCCCACACACTTCCTTTTAGGGGACCCCCCCCCTTAGGCCACCAGTCTCCCCACAACCCGCACGCTTCCTGCTCTTGCATGCTCCCACCCCTGTCCCTGTGGCCGGCGGTTCCCGGTAGCGCCTGGCTGGGTGACAGCAGCCAGAGTAAACACCTCAGCCCCGCTCCGCCTGCCCCATGCCCCGCTCGGCCCCTGGCAGCCCACCTTGCGGTCGCAGGGTGCCCTGACAGGGGGTCCGGTGGGTGCTGCGGCTCCGGGG